TCCCGCCTGATCCTCTGTCTGGGCCAGCTGGGGCGGAAGATGGCCGCGTTACCGGCCGATGAGGCCGTTGCTGACGTCGCTATGCCGGATGCACCGCCTGCTGTTGAAGGTGGCGGGGGCGAGGTTGAGGCTTCTGTCGAGCAGCCCGCGGCGGCTAGTAGTAAACCGGCGCCGTCGCCAGCACAGGGACAGCAAGGTGGAGGTGGTGGGAAGGGAAAGAAGAAGCGGGGGAAGAAATAAATGGGACATGTGGCAGGAATACATCTCTTCATGTCTGTCAACAGAGTTCTTGTCTGCTTGTTTTGCATGGCACAGGAATGGACGATAGATGTGATGGCAGTTGACATAAAACTGTCCCAATTAACCACCACTATCAAGTCACAAAGAATCAAAAGAATCAGAAAGATCACATTACAATTCATCTCTCATATTAAGCGGCTTTCTACCTAGGCGTGCGAGCTAGAGCGGATGCACTATCTGACATCTTCCACCCGGTAATCATTTTCCGCATGGTCCCTAGGTCAGGTGGCAGGTGCAACAGCACCCACTTCATCCGGCCACTAACCCATGACCTCGTCAAACCCAGGCACAGCCTCTTTAAAAAGAAAAGCGTCGACAAGCAGGGGACTTATCCTAGTCCTCAAGAACTCCTCGTAACGCCCTTTGATATGTGACAGTTGACAATAACCCCAACATCAGTAGTCCAGACAGTGATGACAAAAAGAAAAAGATGTGAAGACCGATGTATATCGCCTTCACCAAGTGAGACAAACAATGTTGCCGAGTTGCTCGCCCATGCCTCTAGAGGGAGTAGTATTCTATAGTGTTATGCCACGCAGGTATTGTGAAGTGGTGAGGGTTGCGTTCAATATACACAAAAGTAGGTTTGAAGGGGAGGGCGGGGGTATCATAACTTCGTCAGGAAAATCAAACGAGGAACAGATAAGCAAGATCTGCTTAGAAGTCCTCGTCGAAGGAGAAGTCACCCCCATTCTCGTTCTTGGGCTCAGACTCTGTGGCCCCCGACGAGACGTCTTCATTAGAGACGTTCTTCTTGGTGCTAGCCATGACGCCAGCCTTCTGGTACTCGCCGACACGCTTCTCAAAGAAGTTGGTCTTGCCGCCAAGGGAGATGTTCTCCATGAAGTCGAAGGGGTTAGTGGCGCGATAGACCTTGTCGTTGCCGAGGGCGACGAGCAGGCGGTCGGCAACAAACTCGATGTATTGCTTCATCAAGTTGGCGTTCATGCCGAGAAGGGCACAGGGGAGGGCCTCGGTCAAGAATTCTTGCTCAATCTTGACAGCATCCATGATGACCTCCTGAACGACCTCCTTGCTGGGTCGGTTCTTCAAGTGGGAGAAGAGGAGGCAGGCGAAGTCGGTGTGCAGACCCTCGTCGCGGGAGATGAGCTCATTGGAGAAGGTCAAACCAGGCATCAGACCGCGCTTCTTGAGCCAGAAGATGGAGGCGAATGCACCGCTGAAGAAGATACCCTCGACGGCGGCGAAGGCGATGAGACGCTGGGCAAAGGTAGACTTGCGGTCACTGATCCACCGCAAAGCCCAGTCGGCCTTCTTGCGGATAGCAGGGACTATGGTCATGTCAGAATATTGCCGTCTTTCCGCAGATTTTAGTAAACTTACTGGTGTCAATGGCATTGAACAGATGGGTTCGCTGGGCGGGCTCCTTGACATAGGTGTCGATGAGGAGAGAGTATGTTTCGGAGTGGATGTTCTCCATCATGATCTGGAAGCCATAGAAGCAGCGAGCCTCAGGGATCTGGACCTCGCCGCTGAATCGCTCGACAAGGTTCTCGTTGACGATACCATCGGAAGCGGCGAAGAAGGCAAGGATGTGGGAGATGAAGTATTTCTCATCTTCGTTGATCTTGTTGTTCCAGTCGTGCAAGTCTTTGGAAAGATCAATCTCCTCAGCAGTCCAGAAGGAAGCCTCGGCTTTCTTGTACATTTGCCATATCTGTAGGGAAGGGATGCAAGTTAGCGGAATGTCGCGTCAAAAACCACTTTATGCGTCGAGAACGCGTCACATACCTCGTGGTACTTGATGGGGAAGAGGACGAAGCGCTGAGGGTTCTCTTGCAAGAGGGGCTCGTCGGCCTCCTCAGGCTTGATACCTGGGGCCACAGCAGGCTTGGGGGCTTCCTCCTTCTTCTCTACGGCAGGCTTGTATGAATCCATGTCGCTGGCAAGGGTGTGGATGTCGGCGTCGATGAGGGCATTCTCTTTACCGGGAGCAGCAAAGTCGAGCTTCTTAACAGGAGACTCCATTTTGAGTGACTCAATGGCAGATGTGGCCTAGACATTGACACATGTTAGTCTTTGTCCTCGCGAGTGGCAAAGATGGGGCGCATACCATTTTGGAGGGCGTAATGTCGGTAGCCATTGCACGTGATGAGGTGATGGCAGGGAGGAAGGTAGGAGAGGGTATATGTGAGTGTGTGATTGACAATTGAACTGATCACCAGAAATAATTCAAAGGTTCACGCGGAGAGAGAAAGTGGCAGGGGTGGTGGTGGTGTTGGTGTTGGTTGGTGATGAACGGGAGCGTGTTTAGAAGGGAACGCAACCTTTTTAACGGTTTCGCCGCGCCAAATCACGTGGTGTCAATCAGCCCGTTGAACGCGCCCGGCCAGCGCGTCTCCATTGCCCCGCCATCCCATTTTCACGCGTTCACCAGGGCAATGCAGCTTTACAGGGGGAGCTCCCACCTAGCCCCTACAAAATGCCCACCTTACCTAACCAATTCCGTATACAGTGTTTAGATCCATTGCCATTCATCAACACCATTCGGCGGTTGTTTCGCTCTGAGACCTTGTGTTATTGCTGTAGAACATGTCGGGACTTGACAAACGCTGACGTGCGGATTACCCATCACAATGTATGCGAGATTATCTGATCAGATATCCTCAACTTTGTCCATTCACGGCCTTAGTCTTGAGATCTACGGCCAAACATCATGAGTCACTGATTTCAATTACGTATCTAAGATACGATAACCTCGTTACGAGGCGCCTAAACAGCTTCCGGTTTTCTTGGCCCTCTTCTTCAGGTTTCTCAATTCAATTTGTGTGGGATGCAAATGCTCTCGAGCTTTGTTCTGTTCTCATTACCAACCGGGTATCTAAAGCTGTAATCAAGTAATAAACCCCCTCATCCCACAATGTCTCCGTCACCACTCATACGTCATACTTCACTACTTCCAAACTCCAACACCAGAACTCCAGACGAGCCAGTAATCATCACTTCACCTTCAACTTCATGAAACATTACGGTGTTGTGCAAGTCTCCATGCATGCCTTGTCAAAGAAAACCTCATTTCAATCATTCGTTTCAGTGTTTGCCGATTCTGCAGCGTTGGCGGTTAATGCTGCCGTTGATGTAGTAGCAGATGGAAGTTTCCACTAGCCCCGCCGTTTCTGCTTCCCACTAGACGACGCCAACCCCGTTTCTACATCGGCAGGCCGTGATTTCTTGCTGCCGAATCCAAAGAAGCCTCCGCTGGATTTGCCTTGTCGGTCATCATGGACTGTTGCTTGTTCGGGACGTGATGGAAGAGCAGGAGCTTCGCTCGATGTGACACCGGTCATCTGGGGTGTGTGCCCGTCCTCGTCGTCGCGGATTCCAGTGTGCCTCGATTGTTCTGTGTGTCGCGTATTCGTTGTAGAGGAAGCGGGCTTAGCAGTACTATGAAATTGATCGAATTCTTGAGGATCGCTGGGGTCGATAGAAGGGATAGGTTGTCCGCTCTGTCGTAGGGTTTTCTTCCCCTTCTTACGGAGATGATCTTCCAATAACTTCGCGTTTCGTGTATTTGCCAGCACAACGCAGTCAAAAGCATCACCGATGAATGGAACAAATCCAATCACAAGGTCGAGAAGGATCCAAAAGTACATCTTCATCAGTATGGCTTCTGGTAATCCGCCCTCGATCTCTTTCGCAGTACGGACGACGAGTAAAGCCAGCATCGCATCAACAGCATCGCCAGCACTGATCGCACATGTTAATGATTGCAAGGAAAGTACGGGAGGTTCGTATTTTTTACTCACAAGGGAACGAGGCCGATGATACTGCCCCAGCCGAGCTTCAGGCCGAGGATGCTACCAAAGCTCATATCCAGTCTGTACGCCCTTCTCTTTACTTTTGTCAAGATCTGGCTGTCGTGCTCAGATAGTCCCGGAGGTAGCGCCTTTCGCACTTTCTTGAATTTGCCAGTCGGTTTGCCATCGAGTCGCGTGGCTGGAACTTGCTCGAAATAAACATCCTGTAAATCATCATTAGCATGAGATCGATTTATGTTCTTGTAGCTGTTGTTGTCGGATCTAGCTGTGTCGGGAATTTCAGATGCATGCTTCATCGCTCACCTCTAAGCCGAACTTGTTCTCCACCTTCTCCTTGAAGATACGTTTCCCAACAAATTGAGCAGCGTAGCTCGCCATTTTGGAGAGACTGTAGTGCTATTGTAGATGGCCAAAGCGAAGGGGGGAAAAACTTAGGCAGAAATGCTCAAAGTAGGGTAGGAAAAGAGAGAAGAGTTGGGTAATCAAGTGTTGCTTGGCGGGTGGACTCCGGGGGACGTGGCGAAACAAGTAGAGTGATTCAAGGGCAGTTTACTGGCAATGCGCTAAGGACATCAAGAAGATAATTATTTGAGGCGCCTTCTCTGAGGCTAAATCACATACAATGACAAGGAAGTAAGGTAGACTAGACGACCCAGCGACACTGAGCTTCCTTGTTTTTGTAGCAACCAGCATGTGGCTGGCATGAAAAATGAGAGCTTGGCATTCCAGCAATGATGTCAGTAGCCCTTGCACTGGCAGTAGCACATCATCAGTCCCGCCCGGCTCATGCCGCTAGCCCCAAATACAACGCCAGGATCCACTGACTCTGCAAGTCATTGCCGCTTTACCGGTAATCAGCCGGTAAGACTTGATAGTTGCCGATATCTGATTTGAGACCCACTGCCTAGTTGCGAAACGCAAAGTCGCGTGTTCTAATGGTTATGATTTCTCGTTCACATTATGTGTACATCTATTGTTCCGAGAAGGTTCCGTGTTCGATCCACGGCGTGACTACATAATTTTTGCTTCTTTAGCCTTGAACTTCGCAGGTGCAACCATACAATTGTAAACTTTTTGCACCTTTTTATTGCTCATGATTTTCTTTTGGAAAATTTGCTAAGTTCGTTATAGCAAGCATGAGTAAACTCTTTGGTCCTTTCCTTGTATTCCCATATCCAGTTTTAAACAAGGCCAAGTCGCATGCTCAACAGCTAATGAATCCTTATAAACCCCAAGAATCAACATCTGCCATAAGCTCATTGTTCTTCACCCCCTCGGGAAAATCCTCTTCACCAAGATGTGTCGTGTGCGCCCATGGCTTCAGCCCGTTTTCTTCTCTGATGGTAGTTGAAAAGCACCCACTCCAACCTTTGCGCGGAAACGCCTTATTCACGTTTTGACGGGTTGTCTCATGTATCAGCCCTGGGTTACCACCCATGTTATCATAAATTGTTGCAAGTTGAATAATCTGCCCCAAGAGCGTAATCTTCCCAACCGTCCCTAAGTCCTGGTGACGTATAATGGCCTCGGCCACTGCTTCTGCTTGAGGTTGTGCTGCCCCTGACTTGTTGAGCAGATTTAGAGCAAGAATGCCGCCGTAGAACTCGAAGAAAGTAACGTCGCTCGTAGATTTTCGTGAGTTGTGCCGATATCGTGAAGCAGGCAAGCTAAGGCCCATGTGGAAAGAGACAGATTGTCGCTGTGCTCTGGAAATTGGTCCTTGATAATGGAAAAGCCTGTAGAAATGTGAGTTTCCCGAAACCAATCCACCTCCTGTCCCGACATACCCCAGTAATAGACGCGCATGGAATGATTATATGTTGGCTCTGTCAGATGTTCTTGGGCATAGCGCTGCATTTCCGCAACGATTGGATCATCCGAAGGGAAGTATATATCAGATACTACTAGAGCAGAGGGTTGCGAGATCGGCTTTTTCTCAAATATGGCATTGGAATCACGTGGAACTGCCGTCCATCCATGCTTGACTGTATCATCCGAAGAGAAGGCTGAATTTGAAGACATTACTGCTGGTCTGTAATGAATACCTCGTTCTATAATAGAGAATATCTCTTATATTTAAGGTAATTTGGAAGCAGTTCGACTGCAAAGGTGATGAAGGCTGCCTTTATTTATACCTTCGAAGGCCAGCCATACCTTTGGCGCTCTCCTCGTAATGATTTAATTTTCTACAAACACGTTCTGTGTGTCGTAAGCACTGCATTTCCGTGGTATTTGCGGGGAAGATGTCCAGATCCCGCGGAAATCTGGGGAGCGTTCGAATATCACGAATTCCATCTTCAGTCATTAGTCAGACTCGGACAATTTATGGTGTTCGGCATGGTCTATCTGGCTTATTAAGGCTATGTCTTTCCTGTGGACTGCTCTCTAGGGCCCATTTAGGACCGATCGGTCTTATCAGCGATGACTAATAGGTATAGTCGGGCCTAATAGTTGAAAGTTGACCAACGCTCACCTACCTATCCGAGGGGACCCTATTTTAGGACACTCGAGTTTCAATCTGCCTGCATTATATCTAGTTATTAAAGCTATGTCGTAGGTCTAATCCAGTTAATAAAATACCCGAGTTCTAATTTGTTTTAAATTTTCGATTTTTCTAGCCCTACTCTGTTGAAATCGTTCTTTGTTGCCATTCTGTTGGTATAATTTCTATTAATTTTTGAATAGAAAGAACGGCTGGCGGAACCGTAGAATAATAAGGTCGAAAGGGAAAGAATGTGTGAGAGATGATGCCGGTAGAGAGCCGTGTGGCGCCAGAGCCCCCACTGGCCACTCTAGTAGTAGAGTATCCGAAAACTAACAGAGCGGCTGGATTTGGACACCATGCGACAAGAGTGCTCAAAAATAGGGTCCCCCCCTATAGATAGGTAGCTTGCTTGATATACGTCTGGCATTGCATGAGAGTAATAAATATAAATAATTCATCGACATTCAACATGTGGATTTTCCTCAGATGCATTAAAGGTATATACTTTGTGTAAGGATTAATGCAGGGAACTATTTGCAGGGGGTTTTCAAGCTCCAAAAATAAGCATGGGGGCCAAGTAGTGGAACAAAAACTGACATATTTCTAACATACCCTCTTATGAAATTCTCAAAACAATCGCAAAGCGGTACGTAGCTCTGTTAAAGCTTGAACCAAGTAGAATTAGAATGTTATTTAATCATTATGTTCCGAAGAAAATAGATTCAAGCTTGAGATGCGGCTGTATTAAGTGACGCGATAAGTGGTAATGTTAGTAGAAAGTGTGCCAGTTATTTTTTTTCAACGCTTGGGGGCTATTTGTAGATGTACTACGTACGGGGCCATCCGACTACGGAGGTTCAACCCTAGAAAAAGGGCCATACCATAAGTCACGAACCGGGTGTGCACAGACGCGTTACTTCAAGCAGGCTCGAAAAAGTATCTTTTTTGCAGCCAAATCTCCCCTGCCAAAACCCCTTGCTAGCCCTGCGATCAGCCCAAGACTTCAGGCTGGCCTTTTTTTAGGGGGGGCACCTCCGTACAGTGGATATATACGTACCTGAATCCTTGTAGCTCTAGAACAGTCCCCTGACTTGCCAGTGCTTCCTTGGTTTCGTAGATAAACGACATTTCCCAATAATGGCAATAAGCTGCACTCCTTGAATCCCTGGAGAAGAGAGGGATATCATCCTTGCGGGAGACCCCCATGTCGTAATCCAGCCTGCTTGCTTGTGCATCGCCGCCTCCTTTTCCAAAACCTCGCTAGCGCCTGACAAGGCTGTCGAGAACAATGTTCTGGCCGGGATATAGTGGTAAATTTTAAGTGGTAATCCAGGTAGGTAGCGTAGCAATTGCGAGTCAAACTGCCTAGAGTACCGTTCAGATAAGTTTGGTTCAGAGCCCCCAATTGCATGCAAGGCCGTTACTACCATTCAAGTGGGTAGCTGTCTTCTCAAATTGAGAATACAGCCGAAAGGGAATTGAATGGGGATAGCTAGCAAGAGACTTTGAAATTGGAACAGGATGGCGCCAAATTACGCGATTGAGCAGTCTGCATGATCAATACAAACAAGCCGCACTTGCATCTCGCTTTAACACTTATCAAAGGCTCGAGGCCCCTATCTAGCCTTGTTGTTAGCGGGACTACTCCGTAACTGACAACCTTGTATGCCAGGGTTTTGAGTTCCAAGATCCCCTCAGCGTAGCTACCTCACAAGAATGGGGTTGTAATCACCACCTAATCGACTTTACAGGATCCTTTACTAGATATTGAGGGGCATTCACTTGAATATGGAGCAAGTGGAATCCTTCACGCCTCGTGAGAGTAAATCTAGGTATCTAGGTAACTGCTGCCCTGCGAGTCGTTGTGGACCTGTACCTAACTAGAGACTATCTTGGATGAGCGATGTAGGAACCTGGTAATCTGTGACCCTGATCCTCGTCAGCCCTTGTCCAATCATTCTGATGGAATAAGAAAAAAAGAAGCAATAAACCCCCGTGTCAATACCGGCTAGTAAATGCAAGGGGTAAGCCCGCCCTGCAGCTAGCAAACTCGCCTTGTTCGTTTACGATAAGCCCTAAACCTCAAGTTGATAGGCAAGATTTCATGGTGAATTTTACGGAGTACGGATAAATGGATACTGGCAGGATCCTTCGTAGTGTCTTCACCCCATCAAGTACTCTCCCGAGACCGAAATTGACTAGACACGAGAAGGGTGTCGAAAGCGAACAAGCATAGGTCACATACAAGGTTGTGAGATATGCAATCCGACGCATCACCTGCTCTGGGCGTCATTGGATGTGCTATTTCGGTCAAGTCACAGTCGGTTGTGAAGAGATCCTAGTCATATGCAGTAGGTTTTGCCCATGATTCAGCTTACCCGAGTGTCGATCAAATATATCCTCCTGTACTTCTAAGTTCTAATAATGGAGCGTGGATGCACGTGTAAACCTAGGGACCTATCGGCTATCATTGATTGCCCCTTTACGGCGGTAGGTTGACATAGAGAGGATGATCAATTCGCAGATTTGTCAGGGCTATGTAGCACCTAGTCTGCTAGATACCTCTTATAACAAGACCTTTCCTTCATGCACGGTATCTCCCCATTACTCGTCCACTCTTGCTCCTCCCTCATCTTTTTTCCATTATTTTCAAACCGATTCTTATTCTACCCTTCACCTTAAGACAGCATACAACTCATCAACAAGATGGTTGCCAGCCAGGGACAAAATGGAACCACCACAGTCATCACAGGACGGAGACAGCTGCCTCTGCTCGTTTTCACCGTCGCCCCTTTGATTGGCCATGTCTTGCCACTCATTCGATTGGCCCAAGACTTATCAGCCAAAGGATATAGCATCATCTTCATGTCCTCAACCGAACACAAGGAACGGCTGGAGAAAGGCGGGTTTGAATGGTATGAGTGCTCTGATTTTTTTCCGCCTGGAACCTTCGAGGCCAGGCTGAAGATGCCTCCAACAGTGGAGAGAACTATGTACGATATAGAGCACGTATTCTGTAAGCTTTCTGTTCGATACTTCTGCTGATGTTACTCACCGTCCACTAGTGTCTCAAATTCCCTCGCGAAGTGCTAGCCTGAGGAGCCTTCTAGAAATGGTCCGCGAACGGGACCCTGAGCGTCAAGTTATTGTGATGGCGGAATCTTGTTCAATGGCGACAGCGCCCTTCATATATGGTGCTCCACTTCCGAAGGGCTACCACCGTATGCCAAAAATCATTGGCATCAGCGTCCTCCCCTTGATAGTGACCTCTTGTGACACAGCACCATTTGGACCTGGCCTACCCCCAGACTCATCTGAGTCTGGCCGGGCCAGGAACATGCTCATCAATCAGATGATGGCCATGGGTCCTATGAGACCTCTCCAGGAGGCTTTCGTGCTCCACCTGACGAAACTCGGGGCTACAAAAGTTTCTCAAGAGATTCCATTTCTCGACCAGTGGCTCACGTCATTTGACACCACGTTCCAGACCTGCAGTCCGTCAATGGACTATCCAAGAAGCGATCTCCCT